CTGAACAAAGCAAGGAAACACTGCATGGTTCAAAAGTGGAAAGGATAGACGCCAGGGATGTGTCCTATCTCCATACCTTTTCACCCTATTTGCAGGACAGATTATTCAGGAGGCTGGATTGTATGAGAAATGTGGCATCAGGATTGGAGAAGGCTCATCAACAATCCGCATTATGCAGATGACACAACCCTGCTCGCTGAAACTGAGGAGGACCTGAAGCGCTTACTGCAGAAGGTCAAGGACTTCAGCCTTCAATACGGATTGAGGCTCAATATCAAGAAGACAAAGATTCTCACCACTGGACCAATTGGCAGCATCAGGATGGATGGTGAAGAGATTGAGATTGTTCACAGCTTTAGTTTGCTTGGCTCCACAGCCAATACTCTTGGCACTAGTGGCCAGGGAATCAAAAAATGTATTGCGATGGGAAAATCTGCTGTTAGGGACCTCTCCAAAGTACTGAAGGGCAATGATGTCACTCTGGAGACTAAGGTGCACCTGATACAGGCCATGGTCTTTGCAATCACTTGCTATACATCAGAAAGCTGGACAGTGACTAGAGAGGCTGGAAGGAGAGTTGATGTTTTTGAGCGGTGGTGTTGGAGAAGAGTATGGAATATACCATGGACTGCTAAGAAAATGAACAGGTTTAAGTTAGAGAGGGTTAAACCAAGCAGCTTCTTAGAGGCAAGGATTCTGAAGCATTGTTTGACATACTTTGGACATGTTACAAGGAGGGACTGGTCCTTGGAGAAGGACATCATGCTTGGGAGGGTGGAGGGACCAGTGCAAGAGAGGAAGACCCTCTATGAGATGGATTGATTCAGTGACTGGGGTAATGGGGGTAGGTGTGTCGGAGACAGTGAGGTTGGCACAGGATAGGGCAGGATTTAGGGCTGTTGTACATAGGGTCGCTATGAGCTGCAGGTGACTCGACGGCACATAACAACAACAACAATATAACGAAATTCAACTCTTCCTTAAAAAAACCAAACTTACTAATGACTACAGTAACTCCAAGATTATCACCCTAAAGTGCTCTTTTAACTGGAACTGAAATCCCTCCTGGATGTCTCCTTTCTGCCAGCAGATCACCTGGTAGAATAAATAATATCATCAGGGGGGAGCTCTGGTGGCCTAGTGGCAAGAAACTGCACTGCAATCCCAGAGGCGCATGGTTCGAATCCACCAGATGCTCTGCCGGAGAAGGAGGCGCAATATCCTCCTGTACCAGTCAGATCTGATTTGACGGTACACACACACAAAAATAAAAAAAAAATAATATCATCAGGGAGCCACGGGCTCCTTCAGACGTTCATGAGACCGTGGTCAACACTTACCCAAGAGCAAAGACGGAGAAGACAAGGGGTGCAGGGAAGCCAGAGCAATGGAGACGGAGCAGACAGAATGCCAGCATGCCACACGGGCACTCAATTTGCTGTGCAAACTTCCATTTAAAACATAATTTCAAATTAAATTCTTCATGGTTTGGTGTCAAGGCAGCCATACGCATGCGGTTTGGGAGAAATAGAGTCACACATCCTAAATGCCTTGCTCCTTCCACTTTATCTGAGGAACGTGACCCCAGAGTAATCAAATGACACAGGTCGCACAGCAGGTAAACCACAACTGCACTAAGTCGCCCCTCACTCCCCTCCTCCGCCCCACCCCGCCCTACACGAAGCCAGAATTCAGAGCAACAGGAACCTCAGACCTTGCTGGGAGCTCAGAGCCACAAGGGGTCAACCTGGTCCGGAAATCCACAGGTCCTACGCTTCTTTGTCGTAAGGCGGTCCAGTGGCTTAGTCCACAGGGACCCAAAGACCTCTTTGGTGGTTCGAACCCCCCAGCGGCTCCATGCAAGAAAGCTGGGAAATCTCTTTGCATGCATCTTACAACCTCTGAAAACCCACTGGAGGGTCAGCTATGGGACAGTTTGAGGGTTTGAGTGCTTCTTTCTCACAGGAGTCCCTGGCATGGGGGTGTTCTAATGTCCTTTCAAACATGCCTGCCCCCAATCAAAAGGCTGGTGACCACTCCTAGATGCCTCAGAAGAAAGGCCCGGCAGTCAAATTTTTAAGAAAACAGCCAGTAAACATCCTCTGGAACACAGCTCTGCTCCGTCACACACAAGATCATCAGAAATCAGGGCCAACACACTGACAACTGTTGGTTTTGCTTTCAACTGGAGCTTCTCCCCGTCTAGGTACCAGGTGACCTAGTCCCTGTGAGGCCTGGAGCTTGGCATTGGGGTGCCCTGAGCCTAGAGTGAGACAGAAACTCTCTTCCCAACACTTTGACTCCCTCAGTTGCTTCGAGGAGAATGTCTTCACCTCTCTAATCTCCACTCTGCTTTTTAACAGAGCTCAGAGCTTCATCAGACAACACTTTCTAGCTAGAATAACATTTCTATTTTTATTTTCTACTCTTACCTCCTAGAGAACGTCTCCTAGATTCTGGGCACGGTCCTAGTTTTCCACTTGTGGTGTTTGGCACGTGATTGTGTTTCAGTATCAGTGAACAGGGGGTTTCAATTGAAAGAACAGCAAAGTAACAGATGAGATGAGGTGATGACAGAAACTCCTAACAGAGGAGCAGAATGGCTGAAGTTTAAGAAACGGAAATAGGGTCCAACTGTCCCTTGGGCAAGGTTGTGTCATATGCATAATGCAAGTTATTGATGAGTCTCCCTGCAATGCTGTTGCCACACTCCTCTCATAGAGTCCAGCTTCATGGATAATTTGCTCAGTATACAGATTGAATAGGTATGGAGAGAGAATACAACCCTGACACACTCCCTTCCCAATTCTGAACTATGCAGCGCTCTCCTGCTCTGTTCACACAACAGCCTCCTTCCTGGTCCAGGTATAAGTTCCGCATGAGCACAATCAAGAGCTCTGGGATTCCTATTCCTCTCAATGACAGCCACAGCATGTTATGATTTACACAGTCAAATGCCTTTGCACAGTCAATAAAGCACAAACAGACATTCTTTTGGTGTTCCTTACTTTCAGCCAGAGTCCATCTGACATCAGCAATAATATCCCTGGTGCCATGGCCTCTTCTAAATCCTGCTTGAACTCTGGAAGTTCCTGATTCTGGGGCTTCGTCTGACATACTTTGGGCATGTTACAAGGAGGGACAGGTCCTTGGAGAGGGACGTCATGCTTGGGGGAGGTGGAGGGATGGCGCAGGAGGGGAAGACCCTCTATGAGATGGATTGATTCAGTGACTGGGGTAATCGGGATGGGTGTGTCAGAGGCAATGCGATTGGCACA